CGCCCCGCCGAGTCGTCGCCGAGCGGCTCTAACGAGAGTCTATGGCACGACGGACTCCGGCTCGAGCGGCGCCGGCACACTTCTCCGAGAGGGGCCGTCAGATGGGCACGTGTCAACCACATGGGAGCGCGCGCCGGTATCGCGTCCGCCACGTCGATGACTACCAGACACCCGAGGTCTTGGGGTGTGAACGCAGGAAGCCGATGTGCGTGGAAGGAGCTCGGAAGCTGAATCAAAAAAATTATGCAATAACTACAGTGCCTATGCACCCTACAGCAGAACCTCCGCGTGCATCGGATGCACGCATCATTAGGCCCGTAAGCTTTCAATCATTGTCAATCAGATTGATGATGAATGATATCAGGTACGCAACAGCTTCCACGCACCAGCAGTTTGGATGGTATTTCATACACTAGTTCCGTACCACTGCGACGCGCTTATCCATCGGACAGCTGTGTGTTTTCAGACGATGGAATAAGGCCAATCAAAACAGCTTGCCCGAGCATGGGACTGCACCGCAACCCATTTTCAAGAACCTTTTAAGTTCTTGGCAATGCATCGAAGTGATAAATTACGGTTGTGAACAGCAAAACGATGTACTTTCAACATAGCACGAGCCGACGATGAGCTATTAATGAGCATATTATTTTACTTTCTAAATAAGCTGTAATTCATTTATGGCATACGAGCCCAAATTTTAAACCTAACTTTGCCAATAGTATTGGCTCTCTCAACATCGGTCTGCCGAATGTCTAACAACGTTGCAGCCTCATCTAGTTGGCTATGACCCTTTCATTGGACTATGTGTGTTCGCCTGAAGGCCGCTGCATCCTGGTAATGTTGCCAGAATAATACTATTTTTAGTAAATAATGGATTCTTTTAGGTACAGAGCACGGAGCGCAAAAGACACAGAGAGTCAGACGGAGTCGGCGAGATTGAATTTAAATATATCAATCCGTTTCTTATGAAGGACACTGGGTGATGGTCATATCGATAATTGCAAGCACGTCTCTGAGTTTTGAGGCACAAATCGGCATTGGAGGGGTGTGGTGTCCGTGCTCAGGTTTAGTGACGTCACGTGTGGGTAGCCCATCCTGCCGTTTGATATGCCGATTACGGCAACCTTGTCTGTGAGTGTCGATGCGCCAGTCGGCGCGGTGCGCACGTGTCCGGAGAAGAATACATCGTTTGGTTGGTTTAATCGTGTGTGCCAACGAACCAAGGACTTGACAGGGGGTGAAATTGGATGATATGGGGCTCTGCCCAAACCTTAAAATTGCGTTTTAAACAGGAAAGCGAAGACATGTCATCCTAGCTACGAAGTCAAACGAGACCAAATCTCATGCATACTTCTAGGGGTCACGCCTCTCAGGCCACCCCATCCCCAGCAGTTACGTCCTTGGTCATGCCCGTTTACTCTAGACTGGTCTGCACCTCACAGTTGAATGCATCAGCTCTTTGCTGCGCCTCCTGCCACCACCGCTGGCGTCTGGACCCGCTGGGGGTCTGGCTTCTGATGCACGCTGCTGTATGCTCGCGTCTAGACCCGCTGAAGGTCTGGCTTGTGCTGACGCTCGCGTCTGGACCCGCTGAAAGTCTGGCTTCAGATGCACGCTGCTGAATGCTCGCGTCTAGACGCGCTGAAGGTCTGGCTTCAGATGCACGCTGCTGTATGCTCGCGTCTAGACCCGCTGAAGGTCTGGCTTGTGCTGACGCTCGCGTCTGGACCCGCTGAAGGTCTGGCCTCAGATGCACGCTGCTGTATGCTCGCGTCTAGACCCGCTGGAGGGTCTGGCTTGTGCTGACGCTCGCGTCTGGACCCGCTGGAGGTCTGGCTTATATTGCACCCTGCTGTATGCTGGCGTTTGGTGGACGCGTCACTGTTCGGCTTTTTGTTGTTATTTTTGTAGTCATTGCTTGTGATGCAGCATCAGCCCTGGTATACTAAGATCGATAAATCAGCGCAAGAAATTTGAACTCATGGCACCGAAAAACCTGGAGCTGAAGGCCTTTCAAGCTTATATGACGTGTGCGTGATGCATTTGGTTTGCACAGGGTTGTCGTACATGTTTGATACAGAAACACAGTGTTAACCGGTGCGCCTGCGAGGTCTCGAATCTTGCCGAGCTGACGTGACACTTAGCTGACACTTAACCAGACTAAATGATCTTGAAATGCATCAGATATTCAGAAATGGTGGCCTTCACGTGCATTAGGGCAGGTAAACCCTGCATCCACCCCGGCAACACCCCTCCAAGGCTACAGGATTTGCATTCCAACTTCCCAACACGCGTCCCAGGATGCTGCAAGTCCGTCTGGGCTGCCGTTTCTCATATCCACCCTAAGCTGTTATTGTTGTACTCTTTTACACAGACTGTTTCTAAGCCCTTCCGACTGGAGTTCTCCGGGATAAATCACTGGTGAATGGATGAATGGATGACCCCATGTCTCTGCCGGGGGCAGACTGGTAGCGCATTTCAGCAATAATTGTATAGCTCTGGTGCAAACCAATTCCACTTCCCAGCTGAAAATGCTTTATTGAATGTGCTAGGTTTTAAAAAATCGGTTTATGGAAATATTTATGCTTAAACCAGCCCGCAAAAACAGCGTTTTCACGCGGCCTTAGCGTTGGGGACCTATGACCTCGTCCCATGATGACGTCATAGCATCGCTACCCAGAATGCAGTAACGCGAGGGCTTGGCGTCGTGCGTCAACGGTTGATTACGGTCAATCGGACAGGTCTGCCCGAGCTGTCGTAATCAACCGTTCAGTCGTAATCCGTTATTTTGGTCGCGCCGGGCTGGACGCATCGGGTCGGCGCATAATCAATTCGACATCGCAATCGGCTTGACATGACGCGCTGAAAAGGACCGGACTGGATATTAAACACTAGTGGAAGAATAGCTTTGCGGTTTACTTCTGATCACATTTGAACGCGAGTTCCACGAGCTATAGAAATCCATGAGTTGGTAACCTGGAGTAATGTAAAGACAAGTTCGATAAATGCAACCAAATGCGAGACGTGTCTGCTTACATTTATATATATATATATATATATATATATATATATATATATATATATATAAATACGCTCCCTCGGTTTCAGGTGTGTCATAGGATTCCCTGATGGTCAATGGAGTAGCTGTGCACAACACGGTTTTCGTGAACGTGACGCCCATCAGAGAGTCCCTGCCCCAAATAGTGACGAATGTGGTGCAGGACGAGTAGTCGCAGTTTCCTAGCTGATGTGTGTAGATCAGCAATGTTGTGGTGCAATGCTAATGCAAAATAACACAACATCAAATCATAAGAACGCGAGTTCAGACCAAACAACCGGCTTTTTAACTCGCGAGAGCCGCGCATCCACTGATGATGCCTGCCTTTCCGTCCCCCGAGTCCACCCTCAGCCGTGCGCTCTTGCCGGCACGTGCCGTGCCCCCACTCTCTAGCCCAAGGGCGTGGTCGGTCCCCAACCGCGTGTGGAGCCACGCGGCACGGGGAGAAAGCCGCCACAAAAACCGGAACCACCTAACTCGGCGGGAAAATGGCGCCGCGGGTGAAATGGCAGCGCACGTCCGGCCAGCGGTTCCGGGCAGTCCTGGCTGCAGCTGCCCTGCCTCGGGTGGCCGAGCTGGCAGCCGAATAGCATGAATGGCGTCACGCCTGGGCAGGACCGTGACGGGACCGAGGACTTCAGGCTAAGGCAGCCCAGGCTGTGGAGAGCGTGCAGACGTATTGGCTTTGCTGCTGCGCTCATTTTGATCTTCTGCACTATACCCGAATGACAAAAAATGGAGGGCATTGTTTCATATGTTACGAAGATTAGACCTCCAGTGGAAACACGATGATTGGATGTGCAGGAAGCATCCAGTAAGCTAAGCTAATGTGTCCGTGGATCGAGGGGTACCATGCCGGATTCCCAGGAAGTACTTTTATGAAACGGTCACTGGACCCACTTCCAAACGGCTGTGGCGACGCTGTAAAAGTTGCGTGCTTCGCAAGTTATTGATACAAGCATGGGGGACTCCGACTTCACTGGATGATTCCAATGGATGATTACTGGGAATGTGCATCCGCGTTTACTGACGCGCTTCCATATAGTGGGATGAGGGTCTCACGAGCCACATTCCGCGACCCTGTTGATGTCTCAAAAACGACACGGAACGAGCACCTTTTGACTTTCAGCCTGAAACTTGCTCTCAAATTGTCTTTCTTTTTGTTCTGATGCCATTCAAAGTTATCCTGTCCCGTTCCAGAACTCCGTCGTTTTCTCAAGAAGTCATCTGTCATAGCAATAGTGTCATGACATGACGGATGGTGACATAACATAACATGACATAACAGAACATGGCAATCTGCCATAACATCGCTTGTGCGACCCGCCATTTGGAGTTGCTCCACACATGGGCGCTTGATCTGACGTCACGAAACTGGCAACAAATGATGGTGGAGGTACGGGAAAAGACTAGGTTTACCTACTTTGAAGTCTTCAAAGCCAGGATCGCGTAAACTTTAGAACAAATTGTTCGATGAAAGGAAAAATCTGAGCAAGTCCAAGACAAGTGAACGGGGATTTGTATGCCATCAACAAAAGCAGCGGTTGTAGCATGCGTTCATTGTAAAAACACGTTTAGGGATTATTTTATATTCCTGAAGTCATAATTCGTCTATCAGTCACATTCAGTTCCATGACAGGGGCTTTGAATTGCCTTGGGAGTGTCACCTGAACTAAAAAAAAGGCGGAATTGAGCGTGTTGGTTGATTCCTGACTTGTCTGTTTAGCAGAGCTCGAGGCTGCATGGCCGTGGTGGCTGCATGTCTCGCGGCTGAACAGATGCAGTCCAAACAAGGGGCAGTCCACTGCATCGGTGGGCAAACGGATGGATGGCCAGAATGATACGTTTTGGCAACAGTGAATACCTAAGATACTGAAGGAGATACCGAATAGAGAAGATATGGGATGATGTAGCCAGTCTGTCTTTCACACCGTCTTCACGCAAGTCGGGGGCCAAGGGCCTCATTATTTGCATTTCCGTGTCACTTCCTTGCGATGCTCGTCTCTTGTCTGCCGACTCCACTTACAAAACGATAGCGTATGGTGTCTGCGTGATGTATTCAGAACGGTCAATATAGCTTCGAACGCGCACGCCATACAAAATTACAAAATCGGACTAGATGCAAGGTCATTCTCGACCACAATACAGCTTACTGACACGCGTTATTCCGAGCACGCCTAAACTACCAGTCGAGGTATATGATGCGGCGACCCACGCGTACTTATTTCAACACATATGGTGCATGAGTCCTCATAAACTAAAAAAAAACGAACAAACAAACGTGAAGCAAATATTGTTCAAGAACATTAAGCAAACGCAACAATCATCCACCAGTGTAGCAGAACCCTGCACATTGCAATGCAATTACAGCGTGTTTCATGAACAAGAGATTCCCTTGTTCAATCGTAATGGGAGATCAAAGAGCTGATAAAATAACCATGCCAGGTGTGTACAGGCGATATCATGCCTCTCGTTGCCGAATAAACCAGTGTTGTTGCCAACTGTCACCAAGTATTGCAGCTGCGAAAGCACGCGCTGCGTTTGCGCTGACGAAATATTCAACCGGCCGGGTGTCAGCTCGGCTTCAAATGGGTAGGTGCAAACAATGCAGACGTTCGGGCAGGAACGGGACATGTGAGGCTCGGCAAGCAATTTTGCGATCAGCAATGTGAGTTGTTAAAGACATTGCGTAAAACTCTGCAAATTTGGGTTTGAAGCAGGTGAATATTCAGACCCTAAGACAAACGTAACCCTTGGTAACCTTGGTCTGTGATCAGAGCTACCAGCAAGTATGTAAACCAAGTCAACAGTCTTATCAACGTCACACATGCGCCGTAGCCCACGCACTTCAAGTGGCCGCGCCAGCTGGAGGTAGAGATCGCACAAAGGCCATTGCCGTCTTCAGATGCCGCGACGCGCGGAGGGCGGCACGCTAACAAATGGATGCCAAGGCTCCATCGCTGCGCACATCTGCGCAAATCCCGCAATACCTGGCAGCCGGGCGCAAAAAGACCGTCGCGCCAGCAACCTGCCGAGGCTCCATCGCTGCGCACATCTGCGCAAATCTCGCAATACCTGGCAGCCGGGCGCAAAAGGACCGTCGCGCCAGCAACCTACCCACAACAACCAGCCGAAACTTACACGAGCTGTCGCAACCCCGACAAGCTGTACACAAGTCCGACAGGCTGGATCGACCTAAGACAACGAGCGACAGTCCGAGTTCCGATGCAGAAGTTCCTAGCATGCGCGCCCTACGTCCCGTCTGACCACGCACGCGACCTTACGAAGGTGACGACGGTGCCGAATGCGAAGAGCGAAACCATGCCACGAGGGTGAAGCCCGGCCTGTGCCGTCTGCAGGGGGGACGCTCGGCCCACGCCCTCCGTGCCCGGCGCCTCGACGGTTGGCGCCGCTGAGGCGCCGCAGTGATGGTGAAGCGCTATAGCGTACTCGCCCACCAATCGTTACAGCAGAACAATCACCCACAACGAACCGCAACGCCTGCAAAGTATGTGCGTTGTTTCTTACATGAGATCATTTGGAAAACAAACATCACCGGGCGGGCAACACACTCGTTGGGCCGCTACGACAGCCCCACCGCGGACACGCATCCGCCCCAGAACATCTCTTATCACCGCTCACGCAGGCACACTGCACGACTAGGAGTACTGGTGGCGACCGGACTCACCCCTCGCCACATGTCTGACGTCACGCGCCCACACGAGCCGCCCAATCGGGGCGTCCCTGCGCGGCGCGGCCGCGATTGTGAAGCGCCGGACGCTCTGGTAAAAAGGCATGGATGACTGGCGCAGCGCCATGTGATGCAATGCGTGTGAGGTTGACGCGACGGCGAGTGAGCGCCGGGGGTGGAGCACACGACCCGGCCTAGCTTGCATCCGACGACTGACATCCGCATAACTCTGCGCTTCAAACGCCCACGCGGTCATGGGCTCTCACAGCTGTCCGGTCGCGCTCGCCCGCGCCCGCGCACACCCGCTCGTCCCGGCCGGCCGGCCGCTGCCCGCCTACAGTCCGAACCGCAGGTCGTCCAGGTCGTCGCTGGTCAGGTCCAGCACGGGGAACATGGCCAGCGGGTTGAGCAGCGTCGTCTCGTCGAGCGGTGTGACCTCCAGGTCACTCAGGTCGAACCTCATCTCCGGCTCGGGCTCGGGCGAGAAACAGTCGGGCGGCGACAGGGCGTAGAACGGCTCCTCGAGCATGGCGGGCAGCTCGGGCGCCGTCCGGTACGACAGCTCCGACTCGTAGCCGCTGGAGGAGCCGACGGACGGCACCGGACTGTAGGGCGTGTGCAGGCCGCTGGCAGGGCTGGCCTGGCCCAGCGAGCCGGCGCCGTAGCAGGAGGACAGCGGGCTGTCGGGCGCGCCGAGCGGTGCCGGGCTGCCGCCGCCGCCCAGGTACAGTTGCTCCAGCGGACTGGCCGGCCGTCCGACGCTGCCGACCACCGGCTCCGGCGAGCTGGCCAGCTGGCGCTCCCGACGGCAGGCCGTCTTCCTGGCGACCGACGGCCTGGCCGCCTCCTTGGGCTGGCCCTTCTTGCGCGGCCGGTACTTGTAGTCGGGGTACTCGAGCCGGTGCAGCTCGACCAGCGTCTTGGCGCCGCGCATAAACGGCTCTTTCTCCTCCTTGCTCAGCTCCTGCCACAGCCGGCCCAGCGCCTTGGAGATCTCAGAGTGGTTGCAACTGAAGTTGGCCGTGATGCTTTCGCGCTGGATCTTGGCGAATAGCATGAATGCATTCAGGGGTCGTTTGGTATGCTCAGGATTTCTCCGATCCTTCTTGCTCTGCGGAGAAAGAAAACAAAATGTAAAGCCTAGTTTCACATGAAGAGGTGGACAGCTAGGGTGTATGCGGTGGAACACAACCACGCTCCGACGCTAAGCTCAAGGAATTGTGAATGTTTTCGACGTTTATATACAGACTGATCAAAGCGTAAAACTGCAATCGTTCTGCTATGTTACTGCCGCACCGCGATTAGGGCCAAATGAATTAAGTATTATGTACCGGGTTTTTCCCTCCTTATTTGGCCTAAAACTCTAAACGGGAAGGGAGTCAGCGATCTCATTTTCCTTTAAACGTTCTAAGTTTGCATGTACTCTGCAAGCATTACTAAGTGCTGCCTCCTGTATCGTTATCAGTGGTAATAGAGCATTCTGTTGATCACTGGCAGGTGATACATTTTTACAAGATAATTGAGGCACAGCCCATCGATCTTCTGAGATCCATCGGCCAGTTTCAATGCTCGTGTTCATATCCAAGTTCGCGGAGACGATTTTATGGGAATTTCGTTTTTGATAACCATTGAATGACACCTGACGGACACCGTAAGAGGATTGTGGTTTTCCAACGTTCAACGTACGTGACCGGAATAAGGTAGCCAACTTGTCATACTTGCCCTTTGGTATCCGGGCAGCGTACAAAGCTATGCCGCATGCGCTTAGTAGCAGGCAACATGACAAACCGGGCTCCCAATTAGCACTGACAGTCCATCGGAGCTCGACAGCGTGGGCGAAGCAATGTGGCGTAGTTCGAATGGCGAACAACAGATGGCAGGACCGAGCACCAACCGCCAGCCGAACGTTAGCTTTCGAGCCGATTCAGCGCAGTGACGTCGGTTAGTGGCAGCCGTTGGCGCCCGGGGCATTCTGGCCGATTAAATTGGTGGCCCTCCGCGCCAGGACGATTATCTCAAACGATGCCCTCCAAACACGGGATGACTTGAGTCGGCGCGTATGGGCAGTCCTTGCTTTGAACTGACTTACATAACTGGGGACACATCGCATTGCTTGAGAGCATAGGAAAAGTAAACCAGTCGGGTGAGACAAAAGATAGCTCTGCCCGTCAGCAGTCAATAAGGCGCTATGGTCACTGTCAGTGACGCCGCCAGGCGGCTTGTCAATAACCGGAGCACATAAACTTGTTGGAATCTCGAACAGACCCCACCCCCACCCGCAAGTCTCCTGGCCACCACCTATTTATTTGCATTGATGCCATGCAGGAAGCCTACGGTAAGCAGTACAATGCAGATCCGCAGGATGGCTGTTGTCACAGAGGTTAGCAGTAGCTGTGTGCAGTTAGCAGTAGCAGTAGCCGTTCATGGACTTTAGCGGCATCTGTGCCGTGGTGAAATAGAACGAGATCGTGGTCGCTTGTGCAGAGGCTCTGGTGGCCGTCGACAAAGGGAAAACTATGAACAAAATGCACTGAACCTGCGCAACTGATAACAAGCTTATATCCATTCGTACAGGTTGAGACTCTCGTAATGTTTAACTTAACTATACCACGGTGCAGTGCATCGTTGTGACACGTGCTGACGCTGTGTTGTCATCTCCACTAATCTGCAACTTAGTGCATCGCAGTTTTGCACGAAAAAAGCACTGGAAAGTCCCTCCCCCATTACTTGAGGGTAGCATCATTGAGTGCAGCTCACGGGAGTTTTGACATCACTTTACCAAAGCGTGCAAAAAAAACTTCACTTCAACTGCAAACTAGCTATGAACCAAGATATGATGACAACTGAAAATTTTAGGTGTGCCGATATCTACAGTCATTTGGGGTATGAACAAAGGAACAAAATGAGAGCAATAATGACTCAAGTACACGGCTTAATAGCACATCGCCTTCATGAAGAAGATATGGACCTTCGTCAAATCAAAGCGTGCATGCGCAATCAGGGAGCCTCAATTCAGCGTGCCCACCACCGCATTCATAAGAGTGCCGCCCGCCGCCGGGCGCGACACTCACCCGCATCGTGTCGGAGTACGGCGTCGGCGAGTCCCAGATGTACTTGGGGAACTCCGGGTACCGAATGCTGAACTCGTTCAGGCTGATCGCCATGGCGTCAACACATGGACCTCCGGCCGTCAGAGGGCGGCTCCGGGACCTCACTCCGCTGCGGCGGCCACCTGACTAGCGTGGCCCGGCCCGTGCGGACCGATCACTACCGCGCGACGGTGGCGCCGCCGGCGGCGAGCGGCGAAGCTCAGCTCCCGGCGCGTGGGACCCGCTCGCACGTGTAGCGGCAGGCGCGTGGCGGCGGCGCCCGGCCGCCCGGGTCAAAACGATCGCCGTTGAGCTGTCGTCGGCGTGCGGCACGACCGGGCCGGGCCCGTGGCACCGCTCCTGTCACCGCCCAGACGAGCCGGCTGCTGGGCTAGGCTCGGAGGGTTTGACGGGAACTCTGCACGAACGAGGACAGGTGGAGACCGGGCACGAAAGGAGAGACTCATGGACTGCAGTGAATTCATCGATGACAAGCGTACACAGGGGTGTCACTTTGTGTACTTTGATTAGGCACAGCTCAGCTCAGTTCAGACCTTAGGATTAAGCCTGTGGAATGCATGAAATGAATATCTTCCAAGCCGAAGCTCCGAATTACCGCCGGAGACCCAATCAGACCCCAATCAGACCCCGATCAGATCTCAATCAGACCCAATCAGACTCCAATCAGACCTCAATCACATTTGGGAAGTGTTGCCACAGGTGGTAGCGCGACCGGGACGTCTCTAGAAGATATGGACAACTGAAGTACAGTGGAAATGCTGGAAAATTCAATCATGTCGTATTTAAATGCCTAGCCCGGCCGATGCAGGGCAGATCCCTGCAAGATTGCCGCAGTGCATGGAGTACCTCCTAGTTCGCAGGTACTCTGAAACGGAACATTCCCTGTTTAGTGCGCACAAGACGCATCATGTGCCCAATCGTTTGTCCTTAACGCGCTCAGCACTGTGCGGCGCGTTGGCATATGTAATCAAAAGAATGTATTTTGAGGCATGGAGCGAGTGATGCATTGACATATGTGATTGTCATCAGCACGAAAAGGACATCAGAGCATCAAGGAATGGAGTGCATCATCTTTGGGGAACCAAACGGATTAGACGTACCATTGCATCGGAATGTCCGCCTTTGGTAAGTTCATCAGGTGGGGGTGCGTGGACGCTTTTGGATAATAAATATTGTGTTACACTCATCCCATCACTACATCCAGGAATGTACGTACGGTACTTATATGCATCATAGTCTCGTGCGCGCGTTACATTTACTTCGTTGGGCAACGGAATCACTCGCGGAATCGATGCATGGGAGCAGAAGCGCCATATAAATAAATAAGTCGGTCACGTTTTCAACTCGTTGTTTTCACTTGGAGCACAAACTGAGTGTGATCGAACACGCGTTATCGATGTCACGTTGGTGAGTCTATGCAGACGCCTAGCGTCAAGGGTTCGAGAGGCACCGCATGAGTCGAAAAAGTCCAAGCTGTCGCATGACGAGCGGTTTGCAGCTCCTTTTTTATTTTCATTTTTATTTTGACTCGACTTTGCTCTTTTGCAAAACTATGCACTTTTCTAGTTAAGAGCGTATTTTTGCGTGATGGCTCTGTTTCGTAGGAAAGTATCTGGGTATAACCAAGCGTTGTAACGGTTGCGATCTCGTAGATAGTGACGCTCTGAAGGCTGGGCTATGTGCCTTTCTCCAGCCTTCCGACAACCAAAACTTTGCGGGATGCAGCGGAGTTCGGCTGAGGGAGTTGTAATACTGAGTCAATTACGATGGTACTGATACATAGCGTCGGTGCACAACATTACAAGTGGCATTGCTGGAGTATTGGATTGCTTTCGTATCACCAAGGCCTGGCAATTGTAACCGACGTGTTGGATGAATTCGGTCGCTGTTTTTTTTGTGACTGTGACGGACGCGCTGGAAAAGTTCAGTATTGTGGGCGGATATTGGCGACAAAAACTTTAGTAAAGCGCCTGTGTGATTTTATCATACGCTTTTTGTCGATTCGGACGGCAGCGTGACGCGGCTGTGTCGGGATTCTCGAGAGAATTTATTGTTTTCCGAGGCTGTTACTGGTGGCTCTATGGGTCGGAAAGTGTTGAGACTGCTTCACGATCTGTGGACGGCGGCCTGCGCCACAAATGTCCCTGTGGACGGCGACCTGCGCCATTTCACTTCTCTGCCCGCTCTGCCTGTCGAAGCCCCACATCAACCCTCAAAATGTCTGAGAACGGGAGTATCCACGGCTTTTGCACCACTGTGAGCGATCGCCTGCACACGTCGACCGGGACACGTGGCTCCTACTGACACCGAGGCTCACCCGACCCGCCGCCTCGCTCCTGACAGCACACATGGCTTCAACAGTCACACACACGTGGCTCCTACTGACACCGAGGCTCACCCGACCCGCCGCCTCGCTCCTGACAGCACACATGGCTTCAACAGTAACACACACGTGGCTCCTACTGACACCGAGGCTCGCCCGGCCCGCCGCCTCGCTCCTGACTACACATGGCTTCGACAGTAACACACACGTGGCTCCTACTGACACCGAGGCTCACCCGACCCGCCGCCTCGCTCCTGACTACACATGGCTTCAACAGTAGCACACACGTGGCTCCTACTGACACCGAGGCTCACCCGACCCGCCGCCTCGCTCCTGACTACACATGGCTTCAACAGTAACACACACGTGGCTCCTACTGACACCGAGGCTCACCCGACCCGCCGCCTCGCTCCTGACAGCACACATGGCTTCAACAGTAACACACACGTGGCTCCTACTGACACCGAGGCTCGCCCGGCCCGCCGCCTCGCTCCTGACAGCACACATGGCTTCAACAGTAACACACACGTGGCTCCTACTGACACCGAGGCTCGCCCGGCCCGCCGCCTCGCTCCTGACAGCACACATGGCTTCAACAGTAACACACACGTGGCTCCTACTGACACCGAAGCTCGCCCGGCCCGCCGCCTCGCTCCTGACAGCACACATGGCTTCAACAGTAACACACACGTGGCTCCTACTGACACCGAGGCTCGCCCGGCCCGCCGCCTCGCTCCTGACTACACATGGCTTCAACAGTAACACACACGTGGCTCCTACTGACACCGAGGCTCGCCCGGCCCGCCGCCTCGCTCCTGACTACACATGGCTTCAACAGTAGCACACACGTGGCTCCTACTGACACCGAGGCTCGCCCGGCCCGCCGCCTCGCTCCTGACAGCACACATGGCTTCAACAGTAGCACGCACTTGGCGCCGTGACCTGAAGCTGCCGCGCCGTCCGCCTGACCTTCGGTATCCCCAGACCGTCCGCTGCCGTGCCGGCCACATCCGGGCCGCGGGCGCGCGCCGGCCGCGGTCCTGTTCTGACGCGCCCCGGCCGGGCGGACGCGTCAGTGCGGGCTTCGGCGTCACCCGCTCAGGGACGCAGCTCAGTGGACAGCCGCGCCGCTATGTCCGACCCGGCCGTGTCTGTCACGGTACGGCCTCTTCCTGGCCTGGGTCAGTCAGCCGGCAGCCTGGTCCCGGTGCCCGCGACCATCCCGCCACCAGCGTTGCTGTCTGGAAGCGTTACTTTAAAGAGCTACACTGATGTCTTAAAAGCAGCACGGTCCGGGGCGGTCTGCTTCAGACATCTGGCCGTGCTTTGTCTGCACAGGACAGTCGCCGTCAGTGTGGCCTCTCCGTGGCCGAACAGGGCGTCACCGTGGACACAGGTCGGCCCCGTCAGTGTGGCCTCTCCGTGGCCGAACAGGGCGTCACCGTGGACACAGGTCGGCCCCGTCAGTGTGGCCTCTCCGTGGCCGAACAGGGCGTCACCGTGGACACAGGTCGGCCCCGTCAGTGTGGCCTCTCCGTGGCCGAACAGGGCGCCGCTGCGGAAGAAGCGGTCCCGATGTTCGCGGTCGTCTGCCTGTGAGACGTCCCGGGCCCGGACCGCTGGGTCAGCACTGGTGCCTCAGGGCTGGTCACTGGGGTCACTCGGGTCACTCGGGACAGCGAGAGCCTCGCCACCGGGCAGGAGGACAGGCTTGAGGGCCGCGCTACTCGAGCCTAGACCTTCCAGGTCCGCTGGCGGCTGGTGTGCGGTACGCCTGCGCTGGACGTTGTGACTGCCTTTAGTGCTGTGCATTGTCCTTGGGAACGTTCTCCACAGCCAAGCCCTATTCAGTGCTGGCACGTCACATGCTGTGACGACTCTGACGGGTTTGAACAACAGTCTGAGAGTGCAGGATGCTGTTCAGTTTGCCTTAAATGTGTTAAAACTATTGTCTGGAGTAGGTGCAATGGCATATGGTGTATGACTTGTATTTTTCTATAGTGCAGGGATTCCGGTCAAGAACATTTCAGAATTGTTCACAACGATGATATGAAATGTCGCCAACCGTGCAGCCTCCCCAAAACCCCAAGTGACAGTTTACTTGCACGGGCACGCTGCATAGATCAGCCTACATTCGTCATTACGCACCGGCAAATTAATGTAACTGCCCAACAAGATGGAAGAGCGTAAACGTTGCATGTTTGTCGGCTTAAGCCAGTTTGAATGCAGTTCTAAACACGAGCCAAGATTAGGCTCCCTCCTGTGCCGCTCGAAGACGGCCCGAGGGGCTGCGTTATTCTGCTGCAGGAGTCCTGCCTCGCGCCCCGTGCAAGCGCTCCAGCGCGAAACGCTGGCGCCACATCAATTTGGCGGGAGACGCCGCTCCGGCCAAGAGAAATGGCGCGAAAGTAGGCGGCGAAACGGCGTGCCGCCGGCGCGCCTGCCAGAGGTGCGCAATCATCTGTGCGTGCGCGTGCTGAGCCGAGAAAGCGGGCCAGCGGCCGACGCAACGTGCAACTGGTGCTATTCATTACCATGCGACACTTCTCAGGTCCGCGTGTGGCGCAAGAGCCGACCTGAATTGGAGCGGGCGGCGGCCCAGGCGCGTGGCGCGTGCTCCAGGCTCCGGCTCCGGCTTTGGCTCCTGCCCGGCTCCGGCTAACGGACCCCACGGGCGCCGGCCGCTGCCCTGCTTAAGAGACGCGCCATCTGTTCCTCCTGAGCGGGTGCTGGTGCTGCAGTCGCCTTGGTCGGTGTTTGAATTCGGGAACCGACATGCCCACT